TCAGTTTTCCCTTCTGCAAAATGGGAAGTCCAAAGGATTACATCGCCCAAGGAGCATCACGCCCCTGACGTCACGGCCTCCGCTCCTCTCTGGAGAAGGAAATGAGGCCCGGACACCCCACAAGCAAGGCCAGGGCCAGGCCTGGCACCGGGCGCCTGACACGAGTCCTGTGACGGCTGGCAGGATGTTGGGAAACAGGCACTTGTTTCAACACTGCCTGCCTCGTCAAAGACGGGTTGCAACATGCAGCGGGCCCGGGGAGCAACGCGGCCGCTCATCCCGGCCGGCTGCCCTCCAGGCAAGGGGGACAGCCAGGCACCACCCTCACGCTGCCCTAGTCGCAGCCCACCTGGGGACCGCTCGTGCTCTCGGGGACGGCCGAGACAAGGGAGGCCCACTGTAAAGGTGCAAAGACACCCCCAAAGCACATTCACCCACACAGCTGTGCCCCGCGGCGTCACAGCTGGCCGGGAACAGGGAGAGGCTTCCTGCCAACCTGCTGGGACAGCTTCGCGGGGCCACATTCTGGAGACACAGGGCCCCTGGACCCAGCCTCCCCAGAGCATTCAAGGTCCAATTCAGCCCCCCCTAGCTCCCAGCCGCATGCCCGCTGTGCCCCACAAGCCAAGGCTGTGCACACAGCGGCCCCCCTTCCCAGCACAGAGCCAGAGTTGCTCCAGGCCTGTGGCAGCCACTGGCTCTGGCCAAAATTTAGGCAAAAATCACAGCCAGACAGTTGCAACACTCAGGAGGCTGAAGCAAGAGGATCGCCAAAAGTTCAAGGCTAGCCTGGACTCATGGGATGCTGTCTCAAAACAACAAACAAAAACCACAAAACAATAACAGCAAAAAAAGAACAGCCAGGATGATGGCCCCAGAGTGTGCACAGCGCCCCATGGAGCAAGGAAAACTGAACCTGCAAGCAAGTCCAAAGGCCCTTCGCAGCCTGCATCCTGGGAGCACAGCGGAGAGGACGCAGGCAGTGTACCTGGGCCAAGCTGCCCATGCCAGGTAGGGGACTCCACATCGAGGCGTGGGGTTGACTGGGTACAAACCCACCGTGGGGAGCTCTGTGATGTGTGCCCCAGGACCTCCTGGCTGACCTCCAGGGCCAGCCCTCCCCCATGCCACCTGCAGCTCGGGAACAGGTGCTCAGCTACTGCTGGGAGCTACCCAGCATGCCCAATGACCACCACCCCAAGGCGACAGCAGCACCCCGCCTCTTGGTATGGGGCACCCGGGGCCCCTGTGTCCTAGCAGCCACCAACTGCAGCCCCCAGCCCGAGCCTGGTTTGGACAGCGCACTGCCAGCCCCAGTCGCCGGGGCCACCATGAGTGAATCCCGGAGTGGGGGTTTCTGTTCCCGTGATGCCCACCCCGGTACCCACTTCCACGCCCCACCACCATGCAGCCAGCTCGGGTCCGGCTTGGGGGTGACAGGAGAACACTGGGGGCCCTGCTGCAATCCTGCTGCTCCCTGCAAGGCCAAGAGGCTCCAGCAGGGCCGAGCTGCACGGATGGGGTGACCATGAGCCAGTCCTAGGGACACGGCAGCCCAGGGAGGGGAAGCCTACTCGGGGAGGCAGAAATCCCGCACACAAGCCAGAGGGCAGGGGGGTCACAAGGACAGGAGGAGGTCTGGACAGAATGTGGGAAACCGGAAAGGTCTGGCTGAGTCCCCAGGAAAGGAGCCACCTGGGGGGTCCAGTATGTCCAGCCACAGGATGGGCAGGCAGTGGCCACAGCAGGCAGAAAGCCCCATGGAGCCACCCAGCGTCACACTGCCAGCAGGCACAGAGCAGGGCCCCCACAGGTGGACGACATCAAAGTCCAGCTGCCCAGGACCACTGTGGACATCACCCCACATGCCCTGGGGCCCACCCCAGGACCCTGCAGGGCTTCCAACCCAGCAAGGAGGGCCCCAAGTTCTATGGCAAGCTCACATGGACACGCACGTGTCTGTCCCTGGTTACAGCAAGGTGCCAGGTTCAAGGAGCCCTGGGCTGGGAGGAGGGGCGCCCCCATCTCCGGTGTGGGGGCCCCGAAACACCAGGGCAGCTTCCAAGCAGGTGCCCAGAGTGATGCGAGACGGAAAGGACCTTCCTCCCAAGGTCACTCAGCCAGAGGGGGCCCACAAAGCCTGGCTGGGCAGACAGGACAGAAGGTGGCTGTGGGGTCACGGGACCAGGCGCCAGCCCAGGGCTCAGAACCATCATCTCACACACACACACACACACACACACTCACACGCACTCACATGCACACACATACATGCACATTCACACTTAGACATACACATTCACACACACGCACACTCCCACTCACACACAAATACACACACACAATCCTGTACGTTCACGCTCACACATTCACACACCACCCGTCCATCCACGCTCACATACCCTCCCACGCTCACACACCCTCCCACGCTCACACACAAACACTCCCACACATAACCACAGGCCCAACTTCCACACAGCAGGGCCAGCTCTCTGGAGCCATCCGTGCCTCAGTCCACAGCCCCTCACTTGCTCAGCCTCAAGATGCAGGGAGAAACCCCAGCCCATGGCCAGAGGCCGCAGGGGCAGCCTCACCACAGCACGGGACAGCCAGGAGAGGGCAGCTGTTTCCTCCCAGAAGAGGACCTCAAGCCCACCAAGCCCACAGCCCATCCGACAGTGCCCACCATGGACGCACATGCAGGCCCCTCTGGGGACACTGGGGGCAGGACCCCAGCACCAGGGCAGCCAGCAACTCCAGAGACAAGCAATCAGTCAGGGCTGGGGTCCCCACGGCACCCGCTGGGGAAGGCCTGCCCCTCGCCCCACGGAAGGAGGAAACCGTCCCAGATGTCCTTCCTGACAGGCTGTCATCTCCAGAAGAGGTGTCACAGTCCTCCCCTACCATCAGCCAGGCCGATGCTACAGGGTTCTCGGGAGCCATCAGCCTATAGGAGATGGTGGGCGGGGCCAGGAAGCAGAGCTGGCACCAGTGGTGCCGGATACCTGGGCCATGCCTCGCCCTCCTGAGGTGTCTCCGGGCCCCTGGGAGGGGTGTGTCCTGCACACTCAGGCACATAGGGTGTGAGGAGGCCCTGCAAAGCCTCCAAGAATGAGACGGCCATGGTCACCACACCCCACACGCCCCAACCAGAACTTCTGGCCAAGGGGCTAGAAGCCTAGGTTCAAATCCTGCCACCAGAGCGCTGGTTCCCTGCCTGCTGTGCACCCATTTCCCTATTTGTACAATAATCAGGGTATGGCACGACACAGAGGGCCCACGGCTGTCCCCGCCATTTACAGTGGCAGGCAAGGGGCTGCTCCTTCCCCGCCCACCAGTCCAGCTCTGCTCAGCACCACAGTGCTGCCAGGAAGTCGTCCCTGGGGACCAGCAGAGCCCCACAGACAAGGGAGTGGCCACCAGGGCTGGGCCGGAGCCGGGGAGGACTGTTGGTGGCCCTGGGTGTCTGTGGAATGGATGGAAATGGCCCCAAATTCTAAAACTGGTCTCGCTGCTGGCTGTACCAGTGCTTCAGACAATAAATTCCACAGAACGTCCACTATAAAGGTGGATTTTATGGTACATGAATCACATCTCAATCGATCAACCACCCAAACAAGAGGCCTGGCACCAGGGGAAGACTAGGAGACAGAGACAGGGACCCACCAAGCCCGTCCTGCAGGAGCCCAAGGGACCCCAGGGATGGGGCCTGTGCTTCTCCCACCTGTTCCTCTGGGACAGGTTCCCAGCTTCCGGTAACAACCACAGGCTCCCGCTGCCCACTCTGACAGCGCCTCCTGGGACACAGCTAAGGAGACTGGCAGCCCAGGGGAGCCCCTCCCCACCCCTGGGCCCTGCCAGGCTGGCCCCGCCCCCTCTGCCTGCTCCTCTGTCTGGACAGGGACGGGCCCCAGGGCAGGGGCAGCTGGCTGCGGGTGGTGCTGGGGAGGGGTCCCTTCCACTCCCTTCAGAGCCACCAGGGGCCACTCTGCCGCCGACACGCTGTAACGCATTCCAGATGCGGCGGGAAAGACAGAAGCAGCCAGCGCCCCGCTGAGGAAGCCGGGAAGGGTGATCACTGCCAAGTTCGCGAGGGGGGGCTCGGCCCACTCCCCACGTGCTCAGCAGACCACCCAGACACACGAGACACCCTGCCGGACCCCAGTGCAGGCGAGTCTGCAGGGCCTGGAGCTTCTCTCTGTCCCGGGAGGAAGTGGGTGGCTGGGAGATGCCAGAGAAAGCCCAGGCAGCCCCAGCACTCTGGGAGGCTGAGGCAGGAGGACCGAAAGTTCAAACCCATCCTGGGAAATCTGGTGACTTAGCAAGACCCTGTCTCTATTTATAAAGACTTGGAGAGGCACTAGGGATGTAGCTCTGTGTAAAGGTCAGGTGTTCTGCCCGAATACCACAAAAAAAAAAAAGTAAAATGGACCAGGCAGACATATGCAGGGGACTGGTAGACACAATCCCTGCGGCTCTGAAGGGCAGACGCCCAGGGCCCCTTTGCCGGACCCTGACCTGCCATCCGCTCCAATGCCCTGTGTGCACAAGCTCTGCCCCAGCCCCCACACAGCCCAGAAGCCTGGCTCCAACACCACTGGGCATCTGTGTGAGATGCCTCCCAGGCTGCGCCCCAAAGAGCAGGCCAGTAAACAGCGGCGGCCCTGGAGGGTCTTCCTCCCGCCCACCGGGAACATTACCAGGACTCGGTCCTGCCCCTCCCTCAACTACGCCCAGCGCGGAGGAGCCGCCTCTAACCGCCCAGAACAGACCCAGCCGTGGTGCCCACCGCCCGCCCCTGGCCCACTGAGCAGCTGTCCAAGACTCCAGTCCACACCCAGGGACCAGGCTGGGGGAGACAGGACCTACCCCGCTCAGCACTGGGGCCTCCGACGCAAACTCCCAAAGAAGGGCCCCGGGGTCCCCCCGACCCTCAGCAGTGTCAGGAGCCACTGCTTGGCGATTAGGAGACATAAACCTCGGCATAGGGGGCTCATTACCAACAGACATCGGGCGCCGGCCACGGACGTCCCTGACGGATGGCAGGTGGCGCAGGCGCTCGGTCTCCGGGAGCTGCCACCCGTCAGTGCCCCGGGCCTTGTGCGTCACCTGCATCTTCCCTCTGTGTCACTGACAGCCGTCACTGCCCCTGCCCCTGCCCCTGCCCCAGCCACCAGCCACCCTGGGCCAGGCTGGAGACAGAGAAGGCAGGTCTGGGACGGGTCCTCCAGGCGACCTCCCAGGAGAGACAGCCCAGCATGCGCACCCACAGTGGCACCCAGCACAGCCACCGTGCAGGCCGCGCAAGGGACACCCAGTGTGACCAGCAAGAGACAGGAGGACCCTGCACGGGAGGCCTCTGTTCCCCCATCTGTGACACAACCACGTTAAAGAGGATCTTGAAGTTCCCTTCCTGCTCTGAGACCCGGTGCCCCGCCGGAGAAAGTTCCAGAATCAGCTCGCTGATGAATGAATTAGCAAGATGGTCACAGCATTAACTTGATGAGTCAGATGGCAGGGCACGTGGGAAAGTCCAGCCTGACAGCGCAAGCTGGGCTGCTGCCCATCAGATAACACGGGGAGGCGGGGCCCGCCACACCCGGGCGGTCACCGAGCCAGGCAGGCGGGGACAGGGATGCTGCCCCGAAGGGAGCCCCACACACAGCCTAGGGGAGTCGCCCACGTTCCCAGACTCCCAGGGGCTCCCAGGTCCAGGTCAAAGCAAAGGCGGGGCCTGAGCCCACCCCTGCGTCCGCCCAGGAGCTGCTGGGACCAGGGACGAGGCCCTCGCAGGGAACTCGGGACTTGGAGGGGCTGTCTGTCCAGCACAGTCCACCCAGAGTGCCCCGTGGGAGTGCCAGGGCACAGACTCACCACCACCAGGGGAGGCCCGAGGCCCAGGTGCCCCTCCAGACCAGCACAGCCGATGGCCTTGGGGCTCAGGGGTAGGGGCCCCATTTCAAAACACTTCGGCCTGCGGGGGGGGAGGGGGGAAGGGCCGCACAGAGGCAGTGATGGAGCCGCAATGGACAAGGGTCCGGGCACAGCGGGCACTGGCCGCCAATACACCTTACACCCACTCTCCAGAAAGAGAAACTGAGGCTCCGGAGGAGATGGATCTTGCCAAGGCCACACGGCCAGGCACCACACAGCGAAAATTTGAACCCAGGACCACCACTGCCTGCAATGCTTTTGGGGAGAACCGTGCTCTGGGACCTGCAGGGTAGGGGCGGGAGGAGCAGGCACTCCCCGCCCTAGTCTGCAGCCTGTCACTGGCGAAGCAGGCAGGCTCTGCACAGCCAGATGCCCAGCCTAGTGCCCCACAGCCAGCCCAGGCCACCGAGGGCTGCTAACAGCCACCCCAGCAGGACAGTGTGAAAGCCTAGAGCCGGGAGGAGGACCCGGGGACTCGGGGGGTGGGAGCCACGCGGTATGGCCAGGGTGGGACCCTGCTGACGTCACAGACATCACCACTCTGCTTCCCTGATGGGGACCCCGGGCAGCTCCAGAACCTTCTGCAGCTGGCTACCCATGGCAAGGAGCCAGGCCTTGCCAAAGCCATAGCAGAGAGGGACCAGGAGCCAGGGCACAGCCCACTGGGACATGGCAGGGTCTGCAACAGGCAGGACAGTGCAGGGGGCGCATCAGCCCACTGCCCACCACAGCAGGGTGCACACCTGCCCTGCCCTCTGCCACACGCAAGGCCCTCCCGACTGCCGGGGGGCTACCCTTTAGGAACTTTCTTCAGGAAAAACAATCCAGGCCCTGCAATGGGGCGGGGGGGCAGCCACAACCTCCAGGGTCTCCCAGCCTGGCACCCTCACCCTCCAGACAGAGCAGAAGCACCCCGAGAAGGCCGGAGCTTTGAGGGGAGGCCTCGGTGGCCTGTGGGACTCACCATCTATGGTGCTAGGTCAGGCAGGGCAGGACCCGGCAGAAGGTGCCGGGCGGGAGCCTCAGAGTGAGTAGGATGGGGGCGTAGTGTGGGGGGCTGGGAAGGGGTGTGACGGGGCGGGACACCTGCAGCAGTTCAGGCCCTCACTACCTGATAACTATCACAGGCCTTCAGGACAGCGGTGCCTGGGTCCCCGCCAGCCAGGGGCTCCCCTGCAGCCTCCGTTTCCCTCACTGAGCAGTGAGAGCAAAGGTTTCTAAACCCCTCTATACCACTCTCGGGAGTGAACAGCGGACTCCTGGCCCCAAGAGAAACCGGCACTCCCTCCGTTCACCACAGCAGGCCTGAGAGCTTCGCCAGCCGATTCGCCACCCGTTGGCTCCCCGAAACCTCCCCTGGGCCCCAAGACGGCAGCCACCTGATCAATACTCCCGGAACTCTGCCGAGGCTTCCCCAAAACAGGCAAGGGTAGGAATGGGGGGCGTAGGGCTCATGAAGCCCCTCCATGTGGGCCATGAGCTCTCAGCAGGCTCTCAGCGGGCTCCCGGGGCTCTTCTGTCCCCACCTGCGGCCCCAGCTTCCCAAAGCCCAGGGCAGCAAACTTGGAACTCGGGTCTCTGCCTTGGCCTTCAGGGTCCTCCAGAGGGCAAGGCGTGTGCACCCAGACAGCAGAAAGCCCGAGAGGGCCAGGGGGCCCGGAGGACTCTGGGGCTGACCTGGGGGTTCTTACGGACTCCCCGATCCCCATGCTCTGGGCTCAAGTCCAGGCCCTGCACACGGAACACTGGAGTTTCTCTCTCCTCCAGGCCTTCAACAACACCTCCTGTCTGTTCCCTTCTGTGACCTGCCAGTGATCACCTCCTCCAGGACGTCCTCCCTCCATCTCTGCCCAAGTCAGCTTGGGGAGGCCCTGCACTGGGAGCACCCAAATCCCTCCCGTCCCACCAGGACCCCAGGGTGACCCATCAGGGTCTGTGGACCCCACCTCACTCCAACCACACCAGACTCCACCAGGAAGCCATCTCCAACCTCTGTCCCATCCTGACACCTCCCTGTCTTCTGCGGGGTCCTCCGCCTGCTCCTGCACGGTCACCTGGCCCTCTGTCCCGGGGTCAGCCGCCAACTGCTCCCAGGTAGCCCAGGTCCCCAGGTTACGGTGAGTCAAAGGTCGCCAGGCAAAGCAGATAAACAAGTCAGGAAAAGGCCATGGCCTGTGTGCGCGCACACATCGCCAAGGAGGGAGGCTGCGCCCGAGGGGGCCTTTCTGCTCGCTTCTGGTGAGGCCTGTGCCGGGACTGGGCTCTGCTCAGGACGCCCACACTCCACTGCACCCAGCCCCGGCTCCCCAAGGGCTGCATTGCCCAGAGGCTCTGGGGACACTCGGACCTCTGTGGCCACCACCCTGGCCCCGCCAGGCAGACTAGAAACTGAGGCCAGGAAAGTGCCTGCCTGCACGGCAACAAAAGCAGCCTCGGCTCCTTGGAGCAACCCAGCCAGGGCTGCACACCCCCTCCCAGGAGCCCACCGGGTGCCGGACAGTGAACTCTGGCCAGGTTTCTGCTCTTGGTGCCTGAGAGGCCGCGCTCCGGGCAGGAACCAAACCTGTCCGACCGCCCGGACGCTGCAGCGCCTGGCTACTATCTGCTCATCGCGTTTCTCAACTGCACAGAGCCAGCGATTGCGACAGCCAGGCCGTGCAGACGCGATAAGGAGGCATGGGTGTGGGCTGGGTGGGCTCGGGCTGGCGCTTTGCTTTGCTTTGCTTTGCTTCCGCCCTGTTGCGCCCTGGCCTCCCCAGCCCCGCTTAGGGCCTCCGCACTTCCTGGGGGTGCTGAGTCCAGGCACGGGGCCCTGGGCAGGGAAGGAGCCGGGTGTGAAGCCCGGGGGACCCCCCCATCTGAACATCATGGGCGGCAGCGGAGCGGCCGCAGGGCAGGGCAAGGCTCCGCCTGGGAAATCCGCCTTCCCCAGCCCACGAGGGCATGCACTCAGCCAGGCTGCTCTGTCCCTGCGCACACGGGACACGGACAGGAGAAAGCCCTGCAGCCCACGCCTCCCCTGCGCAGACCGACGACAGCCGGCCCAGGAGCCACGGACCAGGGGTGCCCCACAGGGACACCACACAGCCAGTGCCCAGCTGCGCCAACACGGGGGGACAGGGAAGCCTCATAGCAAATACTGACCCTGCCAGCCTCCTGTTGTCAGGCAGAACCCCCCACCCATGGCCACAGCCTCTGGACAGGGTGCTGCCCGGCCCCACAGACCACAGCAGCAGGCATGACCAGGGGCCCCTGTGGTACAATCCTACTCCTCCGTCCTGCAGACCTGCAGACCCCAGCCCAGGCCAGAGCCACATCCAGCTGTGTTCCAGCTGCGAGCTTATAAAACCCCAACAAGAGCCAGGTGTGGTGTGACAGACCTATAATCCCAGCACTCCAGGAGGCTGAGACAGGAGGAGCCCAAGTTCAAGCCCAGCTTGAGCAACTTGGTGACTGTCTTCCTCCATTTAGGTAAAGAAACCAGGGCTCAGCAAGGTGAAGGGATTTGTCTAACACCCGAGCCCCCTGAAAAATCACTGCTAAGAGCCTGACACAGCTCCCCTCCCAACCAGACAGGGGCTGGGAACAGACAGGAGGGGTGGGAAGAGCACAGCACAGCTCCACCATCCCCACCAGGACACAAGGAAGTGGGCCAAGGGCCCCCCACCCTCCACTCTAGGGTCAGGTTGGGGCCTGCTCCCTCCCTCCCTGACCACACTTCGAAGCAGATCCAAGTGAGAAAAGACGGACCGAGGAGACAACTACTGACCGCAGTGTTGGCCAGGCTCGGGGGAGACCAGGGCTGGAACCAGAGGCAGGGCAGGGGGCCACGGGTCTCTCTGACCCTTCACAAGTGACCAAGGGGCAGACAGGACTCAGCTGGCCGCTCAAGGAGCTGTGCCCTACAGGGCCCGCTGCAGGAGACACCCGCCCGCAGTGGCTCAGACGGACACGGGGACACCGCCAACCCAAGCCCACAAGCCAGGGGCATGGGAGGGCATCCACGTGACCTGGACATGGCCTGCTCACAGCCTCCCGTGAGCCCCTTGGGTTAGACACCCAGGACTCCAGCCCAGGGGCTCTCAGCAGCTCCCCACACACACACCTTCCTCCAGCCTGGACACCTGTGTGCACTTGATCCGAGGAAGCCACAGTGCACGGCCATGGGACAAGGAGGAGCAATCAGTGCGCG